TCCAATATGCTCCAGCATTTTTGAAAGAATATGCGTATAAGTGGTGGACAGATCAAAAGCATTATATATTTAGTTGGTCAATATTCAAGCAGGCATTGATAACACAATTTGCTGAAAAGAACGAATATTTAATTGAACAACAATTCGACCAACGAAAGCAGCAAATAAATGAACCGGTTATCAAATATTATTATGATATCATCGATTTGTGTAAGAAATATGATCCACTTATGTCAGACAAACAAAAAATTCGTAAATTAACCAATGGACTTAAATTGTCATTATACCAAGAAGCTATTAAAGAAACTTACTCAACATCATTCGATTTTTTGATAAAGGTACAACAACTGGAAAATATTCAGAAGTTGATCGAATTACGACAAAATCAAACAGCCCAAGTATCAACCATAACAAAGAGCGACGACAAATTATCATTATCATCACAGGTACATTCTTATCAATTATCGAGTCGACAATCGAACAATTATCCGACAAAATCGACATATTATTCTTCATCGACACAAAATGATTATCCATATCCAACGCAACAATCGTTTTCACCAACATCAAACCAATATTCACCATATGAACACTCTGAATTTAATCAGAATCAACAATATCCAATATCACAGTTCTCTCAATCGCAACACATGTACAGTCAACCACACTCATATTTACACCATCAACATCATTCGTCAGGAAAATCAAACATTTATTGTTATAATTGTGGTCAACCTGGTCATATTGCTCGATATTGTCAACAACAGACTGCCACTTCATCAGTCGATCAACAACAACAAAAGTATTCAAAAAACTAATAACAGAGGTGCCGGATGGTGGTTCCTCTGAATCAATAATAAATCCATCACCATTATCATTTATCACAGTTCCGGTAAATGGTAATCGATTACAATGTCTTTTAGATACAGGAGCTAGTAATACATTTATTCATACATCAACATTATCCCATATCAGACACAATCCAATTAAGCGAACCAAAGGTAAGTATACACTGGCAGATGGAAATACCACAGTCGATATCGATGGAGAAGTCGAAATTTATATTCAAATAGGACACATTAGAACGAAAATTACTGCATTTATATCAAAATCTTTATCAACATCATGTATATTAGGTCAAGATTGGATGAGAAAGTATGCAGTCGATATTTGTCAATCAAGTAAATTAATTATCATATACACAGCAAGATCATCAGCTATTATATCGATGGACGATAATATGGACAAACATAATTTTAACTTAAAGTTAGCTAATACCATAGTATTAAAACCACAACATGAAACAATTGTTCGACTTAAATCACCTATTTCTTCTTCTTCGAATATTATCTTTCATCCTAATCGTAACATCCAATATCAAAAACTTATTGCCATTCCGAATGCTTTATTAACTATACAAAATTATGAAACATATATTACAATCGCTAATCCGACAAATAAAATATGCCGAATACCTATTCATACTAATATTGGTTATTTTACTGTACAACCTTTAGATATTCGTTGTTATACAATCAATTCATGTTTAGATAATGATCAACGGTCGTCAAATGACCGACAACCCGAAGTTGCTAAACATGATTCAATAGAAGCTATTTTTGATCAACTGTTAGATCACATTCAAGATCAACATGAAAAATCCGAAATTCATCAATTGTTAATTAAATATAAAAAGATTTTCGATACATCAACACACTCGATCGCTAAAATTTCTTCTCCACCGATGATAAACACTGGTTTAAATCTTCCAATCCATTCACGTGTTTATCGTACCGATCCAATCAAACAACAACATATTTCGACAATTATCAATGATATGTTAAAATCTGGACAAATT